GTGGGCTGTCATTAAATGGACACTGGTCTCACTCTCACCCTCTTCCCCCAAATGCAGAGCCTACTGTTACCTCAGTGACAATGGAGGAGCCGGGTGTGTCGTATACCCAGCCATCACGACAGGGGCCCAGCGGCAGGTAGCTCCTATTGGGGACCAGACCAGCCAGCGGGTCCTGGCAGCCAAGGGTGCTCTGGTTCCAGTCCACCTCATACCGCCGGCACTGGTGGAGGAAGGCTTCATCTGGAGCCCCCAGGCCTGGCACCGTGTAGTTGAGCTCCTCGGCCAGGCTCCAGCCACAGCGATGGCTCAGCTCAGCCACCCCAGGGCTCAGGCAGCGGTGGTCGGGAGTGAAGCCCAGGAAGACGATGCCCACATAGATGGGGGCGAAGAGTACAGAGAGCAGGCACAGGGTAAGGAAGGCTTGCTTCTGGAAGCAGCCGAACTCCCCAACCTGCTCCAGTATGTCGTCCACGGTGGGCATGACTGGGGCAGCACCCTCATCTCCTGGACCTGCTTGGGCAGTGGTCGGGTTCAATGTCTCGTTCAGAGTTCTTTGAAAATAGGGTGGCTTGAAATCAAGTTGTCCAAGCATGATCTGGAGATCATCCAACCAGCAATAACCTTTCACCCCATGGCACCAGTTCCAGGGCAAGGGCGGAAGGCTGAGTTGCTGAGTTGTTTGCTTTGCTGGGAAGCGAGTCTCCCAGGCTCAAGCCCTAAGAGGACTGGAGCTCACCCGTGCAGCGAGAGAAAAGAGCAGGCCAGTGCTGCAGAAACCTCCCCACGGCCTCGTGAGGGCTTTTCCGAAAATATCATCTATTAAAGAACATTTTACAACTCAGATACATCAAAGGTAGCAAACTGATGACTCAGCACAGCTCCAGGTCCATGAGATCCTGCAGCCTCCACGCCCCACTAGAGTCCGAGTCCCACATGCAGCCCGGCCGCCCAGAGCCTCTGCTGAGCCACCGAGGCCCATGGAGCGCTTGCTCTCCAAGCCCCGTTCTATTTGCCTTGGAGGTATTTAAGGCCAGAATTTGGTGGAAAAGGGAACCCGGCAGCCAGCCAACCAAACCCGTGGCAATCCATAATAAAAGCACCGGCCTCTGTCTTTGAAACACCTAGTTTATTCTCACAGTGGCCTCCAGGCCAGTGCTGACTCCCCCACTCCACAGCCAGGAAAACAGAGGCATAGGGAGGTGGAAACAACTCTCAGTGTGGGCGCCGCTGCCGAGCGTGAGCCTCGCCCTCGCTGCAGCACGACCTCCTCATTCATCAGGCCGCCTTCGGCTGCCCTAGAGGAAACCCTCACGGCTCATCTGTTGCTTCTTTTGTTCACTCAACAAATATCCGCTAGGCTTGGGACAGAGACGGAGCTGTCCCAACTCCAAAGAGCTGACAGTCTGCGGGGGAGATAGACTCTCAAAGTAACAATCACCAGGCTGTGACAGCAGCAAGTACAGGGCCCAGGGGAGCCCCGACACCAGCCCCTCAGCCCAACACGTGCCATGGAAGGTGAAAGGGATGAGCGGGAGGTGACGAGAAAGACAGGAGTGGGTGGCCCAGACCCCTGCCTCCTGGGGCTGATGCCTTCGAGTAGGTGCAGAACCTGGGACTTGCTTGTTACTAATGGAATCGGTGAATGTCACAGAAGACACCTTGATGGTTATGTCACATAACATCCCTTCATTAAAGCCAGGGGCCCTGCTTGTCAGGGGAGGCCCACATAACAAGGAAGGGAAGGCACCTCTGGCTGACAGCCAGTGAGAAACTGAGACCTCCATCCTACAGCAGCAGGGCCTGAGTCCTGCCAACAGCCGCGGGAGCTTGGAAGCATCTTTCTCCAGATGAGCTAGTGATGAGGCCACGGCCATAGCTGACACCTTGACTTCAATGTCAGGCAGTGCTGTGGCCACCCTCCTGACCCAGACACCAGAGACAAGGGGTGTGTGGCTCCATGTCACTCAGTTTGTGGTAACGTGGGTCTGCAGCAATAGGCTCAAAACCTCGGGCTCCTGGGAGTCGCAGAGCATGTGAAAGACCAGGGGGGTGAGCTCAGCTCTGCCCTGTGAGTCTGGGCTGCTGCCCTTTCTGCAGGTCTGTGGCTGTGCAATTATGCTCCACATGTGCCCAGCTGCCCAACAGCAGCTCCCTCTGGGACCCGAGTGCCAGACTGGCCTCTGAGGTCAGGGCACAGCAGCAGGGCAGGACCAGAGGCCAGCATGGGTGGGTCTTCCCTCAGCCCTTCAGCCTACATGCCTGGCCTGGGGCTGCTGTCTGTGGGGACAGGTGCGGGGGAGGCAGCTTGCACTAGCCAGCCCTTTGGGGATCCGGGGCTCCGGGGATCCGGGGCTCCTGGGCTCCCTGCTGGGTCACCTTGCGCTGCTCCAGGGAAACAAAGAGCACAGGTCTGCTCATCGTGGGGCAGACATGGGAGCCAGGCAGCTGTGTCCTCGGCCTCCATCCCAGAAACACAGTGCTCCCCTCCTCTGGTGCCTGGGTCTGACTGGGGTCAGAGTCCTCACCACAGTCCCAGCACTCTCCAGCAGTCTCAGTGCCCTACTCTTCGTCCCCAACCCAGACGTCCAGGCTCTCTAGAATCCACCTGGGACTTCGGCCTCCCTTGGCAGGCTCCTCACTGCCTGACTGTGAAGCAGCCTGAGTTCCCAGGGAAACTGGCAGGGGGCCACCTCTGCACAGGTGTAAGATCCCAGTGGGCTTTGGCACTGAAATACTGCCAGCAGAAAACACCTTGCCCTGCCCCTCGTTTCAGTGCTAGGAGGGCCAGAGACAACAGGGGTGGGTCCCTACATGTGCACACAGGAGGAACAGATAAACAGACACATGGGATACCAAGTGAACCCTTTCATTTCTGAGACTCTCATCTCTCTTCTCCGTGGGCACTGGGGGCTGGCACCTGAACCCCAGGAAGCCACTTGATGGTTTGGTAAAAAGCATGCACCAGTTTTGGGACTGCAGCTCTGAAATCCCCCTTCTTTACAGGTTTTCTTTTTTGGAAGTGCTCAGCCTCTGAGATGGAGTGGGGGGACAAAGGAGAGAGAAACCCCTCCCCAAAGGAAGGTCGTGGAGCACACTCAGAGCTGGATGTTTGCCCTTTCTGCCAGCCCTAAATGTGTCAGCACCCATGACAGGAGCACCCTGTATGTGCTTGGGAAGCAGTCAGGGTGCAGATGTCCTGCTTTCAGCATACACTGGGGAGCAACCTGGGCCCCTCCCCAGCCCCTCTTGCTAGCGCCAGGCAGGACAGCCTGATGCCCACTGCTCACTTATTACATGGAGCAAAGCAGCTGCCCTGGCTCTGGGCAGGAGCTGCCCTTCCCAGTTGCTCGGTGGACTCCGGCCCTCTTTCCTTTGCTTGGACCAGGGAGCAGGGGAGGCCGAACCTGCCCTTGCTTCCATCCCTTTTCCCCTGTCTCCCAGTTCCATGGTCCAGGTCCATGTAGGGATGGCCAGACATCCTGAGCAATCAAAATTGAAAAGGGGAGAAGTGACTGAGGGCTGTGGCCAACTGAGAATGGCCGTTGCCACCCTCCTAACTGAGCATCTGGGATGACAGAGCAGGCTCCTTGCTGAGCATGCCACTCATGAGCTGATGGAACCCAGAGTTACCTACGTTATAGATGAGAAGCCAAGGCCCAAGAGGAAGGTCACCTGCCCAGTGGCACACAGCTGGCTCCAGGCCAAGTCTCAATAAATCAATCCACTCAAAGCCCCCCTTGCCAGTGACCAATTTTCCAAAACTCCCTGTACCTCAGGCCAACTCACTAAATGTCCAACTAGCCACACATTCTGGGTGGGCGCCTCTCACCTGTTCTTCCCGAGACCAGGGAAGAGATGGGGGTAGAACCGGCTCCGGGAGCAGGAGCAGAGCAGGGCTCACCCGGAAACACAGAAAGGAGACAGCCGAGTTCAAGGGCAAACCCAGACGTGCACATGAAGCATTGGCACCGAGGGGCGGCCCGGAGAATCCAGGTGACCTTTCCGTGAAGTGGTCTTCAGCAAACGGGCCTGACTGGTCCCCACCCGAAGGACCGTGATGGCAGAGTGTGAGGAAATGGATACGTTGCACAAAATCAGCCACGATTCAGCAAGTCAGTCCCTGGGGCCTGGGCCTGCCACCCACGTGGTGGTCCGGGTGCCAGGGGGCACCTTCCTGGGAGGAAGCTCCTGCCACTAAGCAACCCCCCACCTTGGGCTGTGCTCAGGCCCCTGTGGCCTGTCCCAGGCTCCAACCTTATCACTGGGCTCTGGGTTTGAGATTTTCCTCTCTGTGCCCATCAAGAAGGAACCACTGCAGTGGGGGCAGACCTCTCCTCACAGCCAACCCCTTCTTCCAAAACAGCACCTTTATTTCAGGGTCATCAGGGGACAGGTGCTAAGGGGACAGTTGTTAAACTGCACTGAGGAGTGTGGCAAAGTGCAGGAGCCACGTGAGCCCCTTAGCCAAGGTAGCCCCATATCTGCTTTACTTGCCTAGAACCATCTCCTTGTCCCTGTCTGTCCGAGCACACACAGGCACTGGAAGCCATGCATCGAATCCCCTCTGCCCTCTCCAACAGTCCCTCCCTCCCACCTCCAGAGCCCAGAGGGCCACATACTCCCAGACCTCAGTGCTGGGGCAGGGGCCCTGGGAACATGGCGAGGCCAGCACACCAGAGGGTGGAGGGGACCCGCAGGTGCAGGCGAGCCAGGACCAGCACTGGTTTCTCTGTTCTACTCCAGCTGGGAGTGCAGGCCTAGCTCCTCCCAGAAAGGAGCCTGCCCCTCTCTCAGCAACCCTTTCCTCCCCACCCACCCTGCCCTCCAAAGGGACCCACAAAAACACCTGTTCACTCACTCACACTCATTCACTCACTCCACAGATGTGTCATGCCTACTGTCTGCCAGGCCCTGCTGGTGCCACTGAGGACACAGCAGGGAACCAACATCTCCACTGGACACAAGATGAGGTATACGATCACCAAGATGAGCAGGTGGGCCAGAGTGACAGGTGGCAAGTGCTCCGGAGAGAATAAGATTCAGAGAACAGAGCTGGGAAGATGGGGCTGCATCTTCAAGCCAGGGGCCAGAGAAGGTTTCTTTGAGGTGACATAGCCCAGAGGGAGGTGGAGGAAGCATGCTCCAGAGAGAGGGAACCGCAGGCGCAGAGGCCCTGAGCCTGACCAACGTGTGTGCAGCCGGATGAGCAAGGAGGCCATGTGGTGCCACAGAGCCAGCACCGGGGCCACGGATGAGCCAGACGGGCCAGGGGGCGATGGGGCAGGTCCCGTGAGCCCCGANCGCAACGCCGAGGGTTGCGATCCCGTTACCAGTCACGAAAAAAGACAAAAAGGAAAAAAAAAAGGAAGTGTCCTGGGCTCTGCTGCAACGCTCAGCTCTGCTGTCGTGCCAAAGACGAGATGTAAGTGAAGGAGCGTGGCTGGGTTCAATAAAGCTTCACTTATGGACACTGGGATTTGA